GACACGAAACGCCAGGACGTGAGCTCTGCCTCCTCCAACTCTCCTCCTGCAAGATACAGTGTGGAGAAAGGTGGACACAGAGACCTGGGCAGAGAGGAAAAGGAGCGCTGTGGGCGGTGAAGGGGCGCTCTAATGTTTCCCTCCACCAAGGTTGAACTTTTCAGGGTCAAGCTGCCTCCTACTCATTTCTATGTTTCCTGAGGCCAACACAGGAAACAACACACAGACGGTGTATAACACACTTCTACTGATAGATGTATGGATGACAGATACATGGATGGATGGATAGATGGATTGATGGATGGATGGATAGGTGGATAGATGGATGGATGGAGGAATGTGTTTTGGACAGAGGGATAGATGGAGGGATGCGTGGATGGATGTGTGGAAAATAATATTTTGAGACAGTAGGAAGGTCACCTTTCCCAGAAACAGCTCAGAAATGCAGTTATAGAGAGAGTCCTCTGGGTCTTTCCTGACTTTGTGTCCCAGCTGAGGGGAAGCAGGGTGGTGTTGGTGCTAGAGAACGAAAGTCAGCTCGGAGGTCAGAGGTGAGGGCCCAGGGTTAAAATCAGGGAAAGCCACTCACCTGGAGACTCAATAACGGCTGCCGCAACATAGAGGCGCAGCCCTGGGAGGTCATTAATGCTAATATGAAGCTTCTCCAGCACACCCTGAAACTCAGCCTTTTGGAGGGAAATTTGGCACTGGCCATCCACCAGCTGGGGCAAAGAAGAAGACAGGACAGAGGATGAGACTCGAGTCTCCCACCTCACCTCCTCATGTTGCCTCAACTCTCCTCACCCACCTCACGCACCTCAACCCTCCTTCCTACCTTGGTCTGACTCTCCAGGCCCCGCAGGAAAGTCTTTTCACCGTCCTCACCCAGGAGCCCAAAGCGCACATATGCCACCCCCTGCACTGGCTTCCCGTAGATGTACCTGCCACCAAGGAGAAATTCAGAAGAGGGGCTGAGGGCCAGGGCGAGGGAGGGAAGTGGGGTTCCACTGCACGTTCACGCTGCATGGGGCGTCCTGGCACCAGGCCCAGTGTGAGGGACCATGAGCAAGGGGGAGTTACCTGGCCTGGATGATCACTTGGATGTCACTAAGAAAGCCAGGCGTTGTCAGGATGTAGGGATTTTCAGGGATGATCTTCACCTCAAAGTTGGGAAGAACTGACCCAGGGTAAAGGGAGAGCAGATCAGACTGTCATGAAAGGACCCTTAAGATATTTCCCTCCCCTCAGGGCTGTGGTAGCCGCGTCTCCCTTCCCTGACCCTGCACCCCCCACCTCGGCTCCACCCCTTCCTCCTAGCAGAAAAGGGGTGCTTGTCCCTGACATCTCCAGCTCTCACCATATTTCTTCACCTCAAACTGGGTGCTGCTATTGGAATCCAGGCTGTCTGAGAAACGGGCTGAGATTTTCCATGTTCCTGGCCTGAGGAAGGACAAGGGAGAGACTCAGCCCACTTGTGCAAGAAGCCCACTGACAACCACTGACCCAGCTCCCTAGGAAGAGACTATGGGGTGACAGGGGCTGAGGTAGCTCAGGACTGGTCCATGTGCTCTAGTTGGCCAGCTGGGGGAAGTGGGAGTTAGAGAAGTGTCAGTGGGGGTAGTCTGTGAGAGAGATGCTCACGCTGAGATGTCTGGGATCAAAAAGTTGTCCTGGAATATGGAGGAGGGAGCAACCACTTCCCTTTTCTGCACACGGAAGCCTTGAGAGTTCTGCAATGGGAGTGAAGCAGTCATGGTCAGAAGCCAGTTCAGCAGCCTTGGCCCATTAGGAAGGTCAGATGTTGGGGGCTCACCTCCACTGTAACCGTGAGGATGTCAGTGGCCGGGCGCATCTTCTGATCCAGAGCAAAGACTCGGTAGCGAACTGGAAATGGAGAATGAGGAGGTGAGCAGGAGCCATGGGAGGGTGGGCCCTGGGTCCCCAACCCCCTCCCAGAAAGCAAAGGGAAGGAGAACAAATGTTTGCAAAGCAGCCTTCCTGTGAGGGGCTTCAGGTTACCTCACTCAAGTGACTGGGAAGGCATGAAAGGTGGAGGCCCTCGCACCGAGACTCACCCCGCTGGCCAGGGTTGTAAACGGGCTGGTCAGTCTGCAGAAAGAGGTGCCCACGGCGAGAGGAGAACAGCAGGTTGACACCCTGCATGTCTGTCTGTTTGGACAGAGAGTCCCTTAGCCATGATGACTGCACCATCAGCTGGACCTTGGGGGCTCCGCGGAGGAGATGGAGGCGACAGATCCTGGCCCGTTCCTGCGGAATCTGTGAGGAGAGGGACAGGGAGTGGGTCAGAGACAGAGAAGAAGGGAAAAGACAGACTAAAAGACAAAGTACCACAGGGGTGGGAGGGAGGAAGGGAGCAGGGGGATGAGAAGACAAAGATGTTTCCAAGAAGACAGAGGAGAACAGAAGGGGAGGCCCTGGGCGGCAACGGGAGGGAGTGGGGCCATTACCGGGAGGTTGAGGAGTATGAAGTCTCTGTCTGAGCTGAGGCTGAAATCCACCTTCAGGGAGCAGAGCTCATTAACGTGGGATGGGTTCCTCAGGAACACGGATCCTCTCACCACCTGTCCTGAAGGAGCATCCTGGAGTTTCACGGCCACAGACAGGGGGACCCCTATGCGAACCACAGAAGGAGAAAACAGGAGCAACCTGGGAAGAACAGGTGCGAGTCAGCAGCCAGCCTCCACCCCTCCCCCCGAATCAGGACCCTCTGAGCCCACTCTCCCCTCGCCAGCCCTGGCCCTGTTCAAGCTGTCCGCATCCTGCCTCCAGGACCTGGGCTTCTGCAGAGACAAGGCGAAGAAGCCAGATGCCCAGATCAGACCCCAGAGGAGCCTCATGGCTGGAGGACCCGAGGGGTTCAGACCCGCCTGCCTGCCTGCTCCTTTCTGGTTAATGCAGGGCTTGGAGCAGAGTTTTGACTCTGGACCTTGCTCCTCCCCTGGCCCAGATAAGCCGGGAAACCACGTGACAAGCAAGAACTGCAACTGGCCCCAGACCCAGAACTGGGACGGGGGCTTCCCAGAAGCCTCGATCTCTTGAGGGAATCTGAGGAAATCATGGCCTGGAGGGAGACTGAGTCCTTCCCTGTTAACCTCTCTCATTCCAATGCCCCGCTACCAGCACTACTTGTTGGGTCTGGGTGCTTGTGTGTATATAGCATGGACACACATACATCTGCCCAGGAGGGCCCCACGTGGCTCAGCAAATGGTTCAGACACATGGCTTCTTTGTCCCAGAAAACAAGATACTAAGAAAACTGTCTCTTACTGCCCGTGTATGCATGCTCGGTCTCTCCAGTCATGTCCAACTCTGTGACACGAGGTCTGTAGCCCACCAGGCTCCTCTGTCTATGGAATTTTCCCAGGAAGAATACTGGAGTCGGTTGCCACTTCCTCCTCTAGGGGATCTTCCTGACCCAGTCTCCTCAACGGGCGGGTGGATTCCTTACCACTGAGCCACCTGGGAAACCTGTCTCTTACAATAACCCCCGCAAAACCTGAACTACATCAGCTTGTTGCTTTTTATAGGCTCTAACAGAAATTCTGTTGTTTGGGAGATCAGAAACATCCTCACCCTCCCTCAGGGGAAACTGGCCTTAGTGTCACTTGTTCCTACCTGATCAACAAGGCAAAGCTCAGGTCCCACTTTGGCTTTCCTTCTGCCCCTAAACGAGGTGCCCAAACTCACATGTCTCATGAAACAAAAGACATCCAGAAAACATCACAGGCAAGAGTACTTTATTTGTCAGTTTCAATCAAAATAGGGAGAAGAACTCTGCAACTTCCACAGCTTCCTTAGAGACCCCTCCTTCCTACCCCAAACAGAATAATGGCAGCACCTTCCTGCATGAAAGACAGCAGTCATGGCCTTGGCAAGGCTTTTGGCTCCACTTCCATGAACGGTCAGAGAAGCACTGCCCAAAACCCTTGACCAGGACACAGCCCAGGTCAACAGCAGCAGTCACATCTGACGCTCTACACAGCAGCAAGCCCAGCACTCAACCTGGCTCCCAAACTTTCCCAAGGTGACCCTGCCTCAGTCTGGGCAGGGCAGCCTGTTGAGAACACAGTACAACGAGGCAGGCCTCTGGAATCAGTGGGTTTAAGTGGAGAGAACCAGCCTGAAGACTCTGGGTTCACACCCACCCTGGCTTCTCCCAGGCCCATAAACAGGCTCTGGCTGAACTGACCAAGAAGTTGGGGGCTTTGGAAGAGCCCGAGGTGACTGGCCAGCTTGTCGACCTGCCTGAGTATTACAGCTGGGGGGAGGAACTGACTGAGACCCGGAGCCAGATCCAGGTGAGCGCCTGTGAGTGTTGGGGGCCGGGTGATGGACGGGGAGGAAGAGACTGGGACGTTCTGGGTACACCTGAACCTCGTCCCAGCATCTCTGTGACACTTCTTATCCCCTTTCTTCTTGTCTCTGCTCTTCAGCACCACATCATAGAGTCTGAATGGGCTGAAATCTCTCTCAGCGGGAAGGGTGGTGGTTGTGAAGAATCAGGAGCATCACAATGCACTGGGTGTGATCCTTCAGGTGAGGGCGATGGGAATCTGGACTCCAAGGCCAGAGGGAGCAGCCAGCCCCATCTCCATCTTCCCCACTTGGCGAGGAGCCAGTTGTACTCGGCAGTGCCCTCATTTTTCCTTCGAGCCCTCCTTTCCTTCCCATCCCTACCACTTCATGCTCATCTCCTCATCCTCCCCCCAAGCCCTCCCCCCGAAGTCTGCTCCGATTGCTTGACTTGGTTACCAGTCTGTATGGCCGCCCCATGCTCCCTGCCTGAAGTGGGGGATCTGGTCTCTTCTTGGATGTCCGCTCCTCACCCTGCCCTGGCCTGGCCTCCCCACCTCTCCTAGGTCTCTTCCAACTCCACCAGCAGGGTATTCACAGCCCTGGTCTTGTGTGACAATCCCGTGTCTGAGGACCCGCGGGAGAGGGGGCCAGCCTCCCCAGACGTGACCTACCCAGACGACCTCATGGGATTCAAGCTGTTCCTGCCTGAAGGTGAGAGTGGACGGATGCTCGGGCTCTTGCCAACAGCTCAGCTGAGGTGCCCGGTCTGACCCTGCTCTCCCCTTTTCTCAGGGCCCTGTGACCACACTGTGGCCAAGCTCCAGCCAGGAGACGTGGCCGCCATCACCACCAAGATGCTCCGGCTGAATGGGGACAAGATCGTGGAGGACTTCAGCAAGCGGCAGCAACCAAAATTCAAGTCAGAGATGCTGGGGAGGGACCATGTGGGGGTGGTGGGAGGTGTGGTTGGGGAGGCTCCCCCAGCCCGAGAGGGGCTCTGCAGGAAGAGAAGCCTCTGCCCCAGGTCTAAGACCAGCTCCATCCTCAGGAAGGATCTGCCCTCTGCGGCCGTGACCACTGCTGTCCAGGAACTGCTACGACTGGCTCAGGCGCACCCCACAGGACCCCCCACCCTCGACCCTGTCAATGACCTGCAGCTCAAGGATGTGTCTGTGGTCGAGGGGGGGATCCGGGCCCGGAAGCTGGAGGAGCTGATCCGGGGGGCTCAGTGTGTGCACAGTCCCCGTTTCCCTGCCCAGGTGGGTCTCTCGATGTGAGCTTCCCCGCTGGGAGGGACGGCTTTCCCTCTCATCCCCTGTAGACTGGCCGCCCCTGTCCCAGCCCTGGTCCTCAGCTCCCCTGCTGAGGTCAGGGAGGAGGCTCAGGAGTCCTGCCCTTGCCTCCTTGCAGTACCTGAAGCTGCGGGAGCGAATGCAGATCCAGAAAGAGATGGAGCGGCTGCGCTTCCTGCTGTCTGACCAGTCGCTGCTGCTGCTGCTCCCCAAGTACCACCAGCGAGTAGAGGTGGGGGGGCGGGGCTGGGCTGGGGGTCTGGTGGGGAAGCTGTCTGCCGGCTCCCAACACCCACTATCCTTGCAGGTGCTCCAAATCCTGGGGTATGTGGACGAGGCGGGCACTGTAAACTGGCCGGGTGGATGGCCTGCACCATGAGCAGCCATGAGCTGCTCCTCACCAAGGCCAGTACCCGGAGCTACTCCTTTCAGAACTCCTGGGCCAGCGGGCACGTACCTCGATGCGACTCGGCCTCGCCTACCACGTGCACGACCTCACTGAGGCCCAGCTGGTGGACTGGTGAGTCTTGCGCCCTAGCCTCTGGAAGATGACAGAGCAATGACCTCAGGTTGGATTTCCTCCCTCCTTGTGCTTCCTTCATAAACAAAGCCCAGCCCCTCTCCTGTCTTCTGGAACCTGGGAACATTCCTGGCCAAGTTCTGAGTTCTCCAGAACTCAGGAACCCAGCCCCAGCCTTCTCTTTTTCTCGCACAGTGTCTCCACCACTTCTGGAACCCTCCTCCGCCTGCCAGAGACCTGAGGACTCTGCTCATCATTGCACACCTCCCCAGGGTGGGGATTGAGGGGCCCAGGAGGGCTGCCCACCCTGGGTGAGGCAGGGTCACCTTGGGAAGGCTTGGGAGCCAGGATGATTGCTGGGCTTGCTGCTGTGCCGAGGGTCAGATGTGACTGCCACTGTTTACCTGGGCTGTGTCCCAGTGGAGGGGTTTGGGCAGTGCTTCTCTGCCCTTTCACGGAAGAGGAGCCAGAAACCTTGCCAAGGCCATGGCTGCTGTCTTTCATGCAGCAAGGTTCTGCCACTGTTCTGTTTGGGGTAGGAAGGAGGGGCCTCAGGTGCTGTGGAGGTTGGACAGAGTTCTCCATATTTTGGTTGAAATTGACAAAGTTCTTCTGCCTGTGATGTTTTCTGGATGTCTTTTGTTTCATGAGACAAGTGAGTTCAGGCACCTCGTTTAGGGGCAGAGGTAAAGCCAAAGTGTGACCTGAGCTTTACCTTGTTGATCAGAGAGGAACAAGGGACACTGAGGTCAGTTTCCTCTGTGGGACGAGGACGATGTGTCTAATCTCCTAAATGATACAATTTCTGTTAGAGCCTATAAAAAGCAAAAAGCTAGTGTAGTTCAGTTTTTATGGGAGTTAGTGTAAGAGACAGGTTTCCCAGGTGACTCAGTGGTAAAGAATCCACCTGCCAGTTCAGGAGACTGGGTTAGAAAGGAGAAATGGCAACCCACTCCAGAATTCTTCCCGGGAAAATTCCATAGACAGAGAAGCCTGGTGGGCTACAGTCCCTGGCGTCACAAAGAGTTGGACATGACTGAAGTGACTGAGCATGCATGCACGGGCAGTAAGAGACAGTTTTCTTATTATCTTGTTTTCTGGGACCAACAAAGGAGCCATGTGTCTGAGCCACTTATGAGCCACGTGGGGCCCTCCTGGGCAGATGTATGTGTGTCCACGCTATATACACACAGGCACCCAGACCCAACAAGTAGTGCTGGTAGCAGGGCATTGGAATGAGAGAGTTAACAGGGAAGGACTCAGTCTCCCTCCAGGCCATGATTTCCTCAGATTCCCTCAAGAGATCGAGGCTTCTGGGAAGCCCCCGTCCCAGGTCTGGGTCTGGGGCCAGTTGCAGTTCTTGCTTGTCACGTGGTTTCCCGGCTTATCTGGGCCAGGGGAGGAGCAAGGTCCAGAGTCAAAACTCTGCTCCAAGCCCTGCATTAACCAGAAAGGAGCAGGCAGGCAGGCGGGTCTGAACCCCTCGGGTCCTCCAGCCATGAGGCTCCTCTGGGGTCTGATCTGGGCATCTGGCTTCTTCGCCTTGTCTCTGCAGAAGCCCAGGTCCTGGAGGCAGGATGCGGACAGCTTGAACAGGGCCAGGGCTGGCGAGGGGAGAGTGGGCTCAGAGGGTCCTGATTCGGGGGGAGGGGTGGAGGCTGGCTGCTGACTCGCACCTGTTCTTCCCAGGTTGCTCCTGTTTTCTCCTTCTGTGGTTCGCATAGGGGTCCCCCTGTCTGTGGCCGTGAAACTCCAGGATGCTCCTTCAGGACAGGTGGTGAGAGGATCCGTGTTCCTGAGGAACCCATCCCACGTTAATGAGCTCTGCTCCCTGAAGGTGGATTTCAGCCTCAGCGCAGAGACTTCATGCTCCTCAACCTCCCGGTAATGGCCCCACTCCCTCCCGTTGCCGCCCAGGGCCTCCCCTTCTGTTCTCCTCTGTCTTCTTGGAAACATCTTTGTCTTCTCATCCCCCTGCTCCCTTCCTCCCTCCCACCCCTGTGGAACTTTGTCTTTTAGTCTGTCTTTTCCCTTCTGCTCTGTCTCTGACTCACTCCCTGTCCCTCTCCTCACAGATTCCGCAGGAACAGGCCAGGATCTGTCGCCTCCATCTCCTCCGCGGAGCCCCCAAGGTCCAGCTGATGGTGCAGTCATCATGGCTAAGGGACTCTCTGTCCAAACAGACAGACATGCAGGGTGTCAACCTGCTGTTCTCCTCTCGCCGTGGGCACCTCTTTCTGCAGACTGACCAGCCCGATTATAACCCTGGCCAGCGGGGTGAGTCTCGGTGCGAGGGCCTCCACCTTTCATGCCTTCCCAGTCACTTGAGTGAGGTACCTGAAGCCCCTCACAGGAAGGCTGCTTTGCAAACCTTTGTTCTCCTTCCATTCACTTTCTGGGAGGGGGTCAGGGGTCCAGGGCTCACCCTCTCGTGGCTTCTGCTGACCTCCTCATCCTATATTTCCAGTTCGCTACCAAGTCTTTGCTCTGCATCAGAAGATGCGCCCGGCCACTGATATCCTCACGGTCACGGTGGAGGTGAGCCCCCGACCTCTGACCTTCCTAATGGGCCAGGGCTGCTGAACTGGCTTCTGACCGTGACTGCCTCACTCCCATTGCAGAACTCTCAAGGCTTCCGCGTGCAGAAAAGGGAAGTGGTTGTTCCCTCCTCCATCTTCCAGGACAACTTTGTGATCCCAGACATCTCAGAGTGAGCATCTCCTCCCGGGGACCCACCAAAACCTCCCCTGAGCTGTTCACCTACAGCACATGGTCCAATCCTAAGCTTCCTCAGCCCCTGGTTCACCCTCCAGTCTCCTCCTAGGGAGTTTAGTGACTGGCTATCCGCAGACCTCTCACACCAGTGGACTGAATCTCTCCTTTGTCTATCCTCAGGCCAGTGACGTGAAAAATTTCAGCCCAATTTTCACACAGCCTGGATTCCAATAGCAGCACCCAGTTTGAGGTGAAGAAATACAGTGAGAGCTAGAGACATGAGGGACAAGCACCCCTTTTCTGCAAGTAGGAAGGGGTGGAGCAGAAGTGGGGGTGCAGGGCCAGGGAAGGGAGACGAGGCTGCCACAGCCCCGAGGGGAGGGAAATATTTTAAGGGTCCTTTCACGAGAGTCTGATCTGCCCTCCCTTTGCCCTGGGTCAGTTCTTCCCAACTTTGAGGTGAAGATCATCCCTGAAAACCCCTACATCCTGACGACACCTGGCTTTCTTAGTGACATCCAAGTGATCATCCAGGCCAGGTAACTCCCCCTTGCTCATGGTCCCTCACACTGGGCCTGGTGTCAGGACGCCCCATGCAGCGTGAACGTGCAGTGGAACCCCACTTCCCTCCCTCGCCCTGGCCCTCAGCCCCTCTTCTGAATTTCTCCTTGGTGGCAGGTACATCTACGGGAAGCCAGTGCAGGGGGTGGCATATGTGCGCTTTGGGCTCCTGGGTGAGGACGGTGAAAAGACTTTCCTGCGGGGCCTGGAGAGTCAGACCAAGGTAGGAAGGAGGGTTGAGGTGCGTGAGGTGGGTGAGGAGAGTGAGGCAGCATGAGGAGGTGAGGTGGGAGACTCGAGTCTCATCCTCTGTCCTGTCTTCTTCTTTGCCCCAGCTGGTGGATGGCCAGTGCCAAATTTCCCTCCAAAAGGCTGAGTTTCAGGGTGTGCTGGAGAAGCTTCATATTAGCATTAATGACCTCCCAGGGCTGTGCCTCTATGTCGCGGCAGCTGTTATTGAGTCTCCAGGTGAGTGGCCTCCCCTGATTTTAACTCTGGACCCTCACCTCTGACCTCCGAGCTGACCCTCTGTTCTCTAGCACCAACACCACCCAGCTTCTCCTCAACTAGGCCCCAAAGCCAGGAACGACCCAGAAGATTGTCTCTCTAAAACTTCATTTCTGGGCTTTTTCTGGGCAAGGGCAATCTTCCACCATCTCCATGTTGTTTCTTCACCCACCCATCCACCCATCCTTCCATCCCCCATCCATCCATCCATCACCCAACCATCCACCTATCCATCCATTTGTCCATTCACCCATCCATCCATCCATCCACCCACCATCCGCCTATCCAGCTGTTCATTCACCCATACATTTACTTATCCACCTATCAATCTGTCCATCCATCCACCAAACATCTATCCATCCACACAAACATCTGTGGATCCACCCATCCATCCATCTACTTGACAAACCATTTATCCTTCCACCTATGTCTCGATCCATCCATTGAACCATCCATCCCGTCTATGTTGACCTCAAAACACACAGAGATGAATAGACAATGGTTTCTGCCCTGAAGAGTTCTGCCTTGGTGGAGGGAAACACTAGAGCTCCCTCTCCCCGTCCCCAGCCATCCTTTTCCTCTGTTCCCAGGTCTCCGTGTCCACTGCTCTCCACCATGATCTTTTTTTTTTTTTCCACCCTGTATCTTGCAGGAGGAAAGATGAAGGAGCAGAGCTCACATCCTCGCATTTCGTGTCATCTCCTTTCTCCTTGGATCTAAGCAAAACCAAGCAGCAGCTTATACCTGGGGTCCCCTTCCTGCTGCAGGTTTCTTCTGGAAGGGGGAGGATGAGCAGTGGGGATAGGGACTGGAGGACAGGAGGGCGCAGCATCCCACTGACTGAACTCTTCCCTCTGCCCCTCCCTGTTTATCTAGGCCCTGGTCTGTGACATGTCAGGCTCCCCAGCCTCTGGCATCCCCGTCAAAGTGTCTGCTAAGTTGTTTTCTGGATCAGCTTCTAAAAACGAAGACTTTGAACAGAACACAGATGGGAGCAGCCAAGTCATTGTTTCCATTGGTGTTCCTCTGACCATCTCAGAAGTGCAGCTCTCAGTAGGACCCCACCCTCATGGGAGTCGGTGGGCTGGGAGAGAAGCTTCCCAGGCTGGCAGGTGGAGGGGGGGAAGCTGGGTGCCTGGGCCCTTTCCATTGACCCTGCGACCCCTGCCCTCTCTCCAGGTGTCTGCAGGCTCCCCACACCCTGCCGTAGGCGGTCTCACCGTGAAAGCCCCCCTGTCCAGAAGCTCTGGGTTTCTGTCCATTGAGTGGCAGAATCCTCGACCTCTTAAAGTTGGAGAGACTCTTAACCTAAACCTGCAGGCCGTGGGCATCAGTGGGAGCTTCTCACACTTCTACTACATGGTGCGCATGACTGGGCTACAGGGGAGGACAAGGGTGGGAGGGTCTCAAGCAGGAAGGAGTCCTCAGGGTGGGTGGTGGTCTCAGGGCTGAGGATGGGCAGTGAGGAGAACCCTGCTCTCCCCCAGATCCTGTCCCGGGGCAAGATCGTGTCTGTCCATTGAGAGCCCAAGAGACACCTGACCTCCATCTCCGTGTTTGTGGACCATCACCTGGTGCCCTCCTTCCACCTCGTGGCCTTCTACTATCATGGGGGCGTCCCGGTGGCCAATTCCCTGCGAGTGGATGTCCAGGCTGGAACCTGTGAGGGGAAGGTAACTGTCATCGGAGGAGATGGTGTGTGTGCGTGTGCTGGGAGGATTAAGAGAGAAGACTGGATGACTGCAAATGGGGTGATTTAGTTTGGGGTGCACTGAGGATGCATAAGACTGAAAGAATTCTCCCCACCCTAACTGCCCCCCCACCTGCCACCTCTGCCAGCTGGAGCTGAACGTGGACAGTTCCAAGGCGTATCATCCTGGGGACACTGCAAAACTCACCCTGCAAACAGAGTCTCGAGCCCTGGTGGCCCTGGGAGCTGTGGACACGGCACTGTATGCTGTGGGTGGCAAGTCCCACAAACCCTTCGACATGGTCAAGGTTGGTCAAGTCCTCTCTCTGATCCTCCCTTCCCTCCGAGGCTCATCCTCCTGCTGCCCGAATCCCATGCCAGCCACTAGAACTCACTCAGCTGGACTGCTCCCAATCCTCCCTCGAGCCGTGGCCCCGGTGGCCTCTGTTTCCACTCTTTGTGTCTCTCTCATACTTGTCTGGACCCTGCCCTCTCACCTGCAGCTGAGTATGTGATCGTGGCCACAGTCCACAGGCCACAGCCACTCTTGTCTCTGTAGCATCTTTGCCTTTTCTCGCCAGGTCTTCAAAGCTATGAACAGCTATAACCTTGGCTGTGGTCCTGGTGGAGGAGACAGTGCCCCACAAGTGTTCAAGGCAGCTGGTCTGGCCTTTTCTGATGGTGACCATCGGACTGAAATCAGAAAAAGTGAGGACAGAGGAGGAAGGGGAGTGGGTAGTGGGAAGAAAAAGAAGAAGGCGTGTTCCATGAATTCCACATGCACCTCCGCCTGCTGCACTCTGTCCGCTGCTTTGAGCAGCTCGAGCTGCGACCAGTCCTCTACAACTACCTGGACAGAGATCTGACGTGAGGCCCCTTGGGGGCTGAGCACACGGTGGTGGAGGGGATGGGGCAGGGAAGCAGTGGGGAGCCTGACTGGGCTGGGACTCTGGCCCTCCCTGTCTTCCTGCCCCCAGATGAGCGTCCACGTGTCCCCAGTGGAGGGGCTGTGCCTGGCCGGGGGCGGAGGGCTCGCCCAGCAGGTGCAGGTGCCCGTGAGCTCCGCCCGGCCCGTTGGCTTCTCTGTGGTGCCCATCGCAGCTGCTGCCGTGTCCCTGAAGGTGGTGGCTCGAGGATCCTTAGATTTCCCTGTGGGGGACGCAATATCTAAGATTCTACAGGTCGAGGTGAATGGAACCCCCCTGAGTCTAGGTCCCCAGCTCCCAGATTCACCCCCTACTCTGGCCCTCCCTCTTCATGAGGCCTAAGGCCACCCCAAACCCAATGCTTTGGTCCATTTGCATCTTCCACAATTCTGGCCCGACTGTTCCTGAAGTTCCAACTCCAGGTCCTGAGGAGTGTGCACTGGGAGGGGCAGGCTGTAGCCTGTGTGGTCTCTCACAGCTACGTTTTCCCTCCACAGAGAGAAGGGGCCATTCACAGGGAGGAGATGGTCTATGAACTCAACCCCCTGGGTGAGTGACCTCCACTCACAGACATCAGTGTCCTGGGGGGTTGTGGGGGGGCAAAGGGTGTGGATAGCAGGATAGACCGCTGACTCCCCTCAACTTCCCAGACCCCCGAGGCCGGACCTTGGAAATTCCTGGCAACTCTGATCCCAATATTATCCCTGAAGGAGATTTCAAGAGTGTCGTCAGCGTCACAGGTGGGAGTGTCCTCCAGTCCGTTCCTGGTGGCCACCCTTGGTTTCATGTGAAACCTGGGCACTTCTGTTTGATCCCGAGACTCCATGACCCTCTGACCCTGGCCCCCAGATCTGCACTCTGACCCTCCATCCTGTCCCTCCTCATAGCCTCGGATCCACTGGAAGCTTTGGGCTCTGAGGGGGCCTTGTCACCAGGAGGCGTGGCCTCCCTCCTGAGGCTTCCCCAAGGCTGCGGGGAACAAACCATGACCCTGTTGGCTCCAACACTGGCTGCTTCCCGCTACCTGGACAAGACCGAGCAGTGGAGCATGCTGCCCCCTGAGACCAAGGACCGCGCCGTGGATCTCATCCAGAAAGGTTCTGAGTGCAGCGGCAAGCAGGAGTGGGGGCCAGGAGAGGGCAATTAATGGAAGCTGGGTGGCCCAGGTGGCCAGAACAGGGAAAAGAGATGTGGTCCCCAGTGGAAATGGAGAGCGTGGCCTGGCCACCGGTGTGACCTCAGCCACCTCTCCTCTCCAAGGCTACATGCAGACCCAGGAGTTTCGAAAAAGAGATGGTTCCTATGGGGCTTGGTTACATCGGGACAGTAGCACCTGGTGAGTTTGGGGGAGTGTCCTGGGTGTGTGGGAGGGGCCAGGGCTGGTGGGGGCAGAGCCAGCTATTATGGCAGGGCAAATAGCTAGGAGCCACCAGGTGTGGGGCCCTCCCCCTTATAGGGACCAGTGGCTATCCCAAGCCATGCCTTCCTCCCCTCTAGGCTCACGGCCTTTGTGCTGAAGATACTGAGCTTGGCCCAGGATCAGGTAGGCGGCTCTCTAGAAAAGCTGCAGGAGACGGCCATGTGGCTGCTGTCGCAGCAACGGGATGATGGCTCATTCCACGACCCCTGTCCTGTTATCCACAGGGAGATGCAGGTATGGAGCTGGGAGGCTGGGCCAAGGGCACAGGAGGGATGAGTCGCCCTGACACTCCACACTCATGGTTGGTGCCTCCTTTTCTCCCCACTTCAACCAGGGAGGCTTAGTGGGAAGCGATGAGACTGTGGCGCTCACAGCCTTCGTGGTCATCGCCCTTCACCACGGGCAGGCGGTCTTCCCAGACAAGAATTCAGAGCAGTTGAGGAGAGTGGTAAGGCACTCACGTGTTAGCCATTTGCTGATCCCCTTTATCCTCAGGAGCCCAGTCTACAGATATCCTGACCACACACACTTTCTTCCAGGAAAATTCCATCTCAAGAGCAAACACCTTCTTGGGGGCGAAAGTAACTTCTGGGCTCCTGGGCTCCCATGCTTCCCGCCATCACGGCCTATGCCCTGTTGCTGACTGAGGCCCCCGAGGACCTGCAGAGTGTTGCCCACAACAACCTCATGGCCATGGCGCAGGACATCAGTGGTGAGGGGGTCCTGGCAGTGAGCCTGGGTCTTGGGAGAGCTTGAGACCCCTGAGCGTGTCCAAAGGGAGAAACGGAACGAATGGAGGCCCTCGGAGGGAATCAGAGCAGAAGCGGGGGTGACTGGGAAATCAGGAGAGACTAAAGGGGCAGCATCAAAGGTCCAGATGACTAAGATCCTCCCCCGTTCACCTGTGGGTCTCCTTTCACTCCAGATAAGCTGTACTGGGGCTCAGTCACCACTTCTCCAAGCAACGTCCTGTCACCCACTCTGGCTCCCCGCAGCCCAGCAGACCCCATTCCCCAGGTTCCAGCCATGTCGATTGAAACCACGGCCTATGGCCTGTTACACCTGCTGCTATGGGAGGGCAAGGCTGAATTGGCTGACCAGGCTGCATCCTGGCTGAGCCGCCAGGGCAGCTTCCAAGGGGGATACCGCAGCACCCAGGTAGGGGCTGTCCTGGGGTTCTAGGGTGGCTGGTCCTGAGACCGAGTACCTGAGGCCTGGCCCATTTTCCCCAGGACACTGTTATGGCTCTAGATGCCCTGTCTGCATACTGGATCGCGTCCCACACCACCGAGGAGAAGGGGCTCAACGTGACCCTCAGCTCCTTGGGCCGCAGTGGGCTCAAGTCCCACGTGTTGCAGCTGACCAACCACCAAGTTCACAGGCTGGAAGAGGAGCTGCAGGTGAACCATGCCCTCACCTGGGTGACCGTGACACCTGGGCCTCCCTCGGCCAGGCCATAAGCCATCCCCCTCCGCCACCCCTGATGAATCCCCACGGCCCCTCTTTCTGATAACTCTGTGGGAAGACTTACTGGCTCTGTGACCTGTACCAAGTCACCCAGCTGTGAGCTTCATTTATCTGATCTGCAAATGATTCATGCAGAATCTACAGAGGGTTTAGAAGATGGTGGAGAGAGAATGCGGGTGAAAGTAGAAAGTGTTGAAAAGTGAGGTGGGGAGAGGAGGTGGAGTTATTTTGGTGGAGGAGGTAAGTTGAAGCAACCGTGTGCCCTCCTGACATCTCTTTCCCTTTTCTGCTTGTGACAGTTTTCCCTGGGAAGCAAGATTAACGTGGAGGTGGGAGGAAACAGCAAAGGAACATTGAAGGTGAGTGCTGGTGGCACTGGGCGGGCAGGGCCATCAGGATAAAGCCGGGGTGTTGAGTGGGAGACCTGCCGGCAGAGCTCATGGTCTGGGAAGGAGGAGGAGACCCCTGGGTTGCGGTTCCCTGTGCTCTGTCCTGGACACGTGCCCCTCACTCTGCTCTCCTCCCTCACTAGGCGCCTGTCATCCCCTTCAGCCCCTCGGTGCTGTTGCCTAAACACTTGGCGCCTCAAGCCAAGTGTCTCCCCTGAGCTCTGAGACCCTGTGTCCCTCAGCACCTCAGACTTTGTTGAGCCCCAAACCCCTTCATCCTCCTGTGTCTCCTTGTCTGACTGACAGTGTCCCTTCCATACAGGCACCCAGCTGCCCCTCTGGGGGCCGTTTTAGTGCCCCCTGCTCCATCCTAAGCCTGTCCTCATGACCCCAGTAACTCCTCCTCTGCCTTCACCCCAGCCCAGTCACCTCCCCAGCAGAACAGATCCTTCCATCTACACACATCTCCTGGCCCTGAATGTCCTTCAGCTGCTTCTTGTCCCCCATGATACACTCATTCTCCTCCTTCAGACTTCGCCTGACAGCCGTTCCTGACCTTTTCATTGTAGCCTCTTCGGTGTATGTTTACAGTGCTTGCCCCCAGACCAGGACCCTGCTCTGCTCTGTGTCTCACCCAACACCTCAGCCTATTTGTATTTCTGGACTGGTCTGGGAGGTGGATGGGAAAGGGCAGAAGACCTCGAAGCTCTTAGCCCAGGAGCTAAGGGATCCAAAGCCTTTCCTTGTGGCTCTGGAGAGAGGTCTGTCGCCCTAAGTGTCCCCATGTCCCCTTCCCACCCCTTTGGAGCCAGGTTCTTCACAGCTACAATGTCATGGACATGACGAACACGACCTGCCAGGATCTTCAGATTGAAGTGACAGTCATGGGCCACGTCGAGTACATTAGTGAGTGCTGGGGTCACAGGCTGTGGGTCTCTGAGTGGGTGGTGCCAGGGCAGAGCCACAGTGCTGTCCCCTTGCAGTGGAGGCTGAGGACGACTACCAGGAATACGAGTATGAGGACTCTCCAGCGGGGGATGACCCCAAGGCCCACTCCCGGCCCGTGACACCCCTAAACCTTTTGAGAAGTGGAGGAACTGCTGTAAAATGGAGGCCACCAAGGTGGCTAAGGAACTGGAATCCAGGGTGCATCCAGTAAACCCTGGGGTGGCTCTGGGCATGTGGGTGCTGCTGGGCTGGGAGAGGGACGCAGGGCCGAGGTTGGGGCCGGGTGTCTACAGCCTGGCACCAGGCGTGGGGGGACCCAGACAACAGGCGTGTGTCTCCATAGGTGGACTGGCAAGGTAGGGCTGTCGGGCATGGCCATTGCGGACATCACCCTCCTGAGTCGATTCCATGCCCTGCGGGCTGATCTGGAGAAGGTGTGATCAGCCACCCAGAGGGCTGCTTGTGCCCCAGGAGCCCGGCCCCATCCCCACGGTAACCCCAGTTGCTCAGCCCTGTGATGTGCAGGGCGGCCAGGGGCTTCCTCCGTGTGACTCCTGGCTCCCGATCCCCACAGCTGACCTCCCTCTCCGACCGTTACGTGAGCCACTTTGAGACCGAGGGTCCCCACGTCCTGCTGTACTTCGACTCGGTGAGCAAGGAGGGTGACAGAGGGGCACCGAGCTGGCGCTGAGTTTCCTGAGCTTGTGTTAGGGGGTTTCCCAGGAGGCAGGTGTATCAGCAGCTACTGCTCTGGGAGAGAACTTGTGGTGTGAGCAGGGAGACAGGACAGGAGAGGTCAGAGCCTTGGCCAGGGAGGTTCCCTGCTGCCTGCAGGGAGGTGGGGCTGAGCCCCTTCTGTGTCTTGGGGTCCAGGGCCAGTCAGCCGGGGAGGGCTTGAGAGAGAGCCTTTCATAAAGCTGAATGTATTCAAGTTGAGGGACTGCTTCTTTTTCATTGACCTTCTCTTTTTTTTTTTTTAATATAAATGTGTATTTTGTCTTTTTTGAAATGATGGTGATCTTAGATGAACTGTTGTTGTTTTTTTCCCCCATGGCCATCTTTGACTAACATACAGTTATCAACCCTCTGATGGCCCTCAAAAAAGTTTTTTGAACATTTACTGTAGCCTCTTGGAGAAAAATGTGAAAAAGGCATGTTAATACTGTGATACCACTTGTCAGGCGTGTTAAGACTGAGATACAACTGGCCAGGTATTTGTGGGTCAGGGAGACCCTCCCTGCGAGTGTGTGCAGAGGGGACAGACCCTGTTGGCTTGAGAAGCCAGGCAGAGGATTCTGGTTGAACACAGTGGAAAATGAGGAAGATGTCAAGTCAGGGAGCTCACCATGCAGCTTAGGAAGGAAACTCACATGGGATACCAGGCTCGACTGGACCAGTGTGGGCATGAGGGGAGGGATCTGGGCCTAGACATGAGTAGTGGAGTCACAGAGAGCAAGCAGAGGGCTAGCACTTGCTGTTACCAAGCAGAAAAGGGAGGCCTTAGCTGTATCATTGAGGCTATTGAGAGGGTGAGTGGGTTTGGAGGGCAGGCAGACAGAATCGGGAGAGTTTAATACATCCTGTAAAAGTCCCAATACAAGAAAAAAGCTGAACATTTGGGAGAAACTGCCCACCTGCAGAGTTTGGGGAATGATGAGACCACCCTGGGGAGCACAGAGAAGGGGAAGGGCCTGTGCCTCTGGGAGGGATGAAGCAGGAAGGTCAGAAATGACCAGGTCAGAATCAGGGGTGGTCTGAAAGCTAGCCCTGAGGGTAGGGAGAGCTTTGTGAAGAATGTGTCCATGAAGTGAGCCTCTGTGAAGGTGCCAGGACAAGAGACTGGGGTGAGGTCACCATGTGGGCAGTAAAGTCAACAGAGATCTTGGGGAGCAGTTTTTAGAAATCCCAAGGCTAAAAGGTAAGAAAACATAAAGGACACTGAAGATAAGATCGACCAGAATCAAACAGGTCAAGCAAATCCATCATAGCGGTCTATGAGGGCTCAGGGCCTAGAGGTGGGTCCCTGACTTCCCTCCACCCATCTCCCCCGCCATGCCAGGTCCCCACCTCCCAGGAGTGCGTAGGCTTTAGAGCTATGTAGGAGGGGCCTGTGGGGCTGGTACAGCCGGCCAGGGCCGTCCTGTGTGACTACTACAACCCTGGTGAGATGCTGGGGACACTCGGGAGGGTTGGAGTAGGTGGCAGTGAGGGGTGGCAAGGGAGTCCAGTGGGTTCATCACCTGGAAGGGAAAGAGAGGGCAAGTGCCCTAATGCCCCTCTGCTTTTTCCAGAACACAAAGGTTCTGTGTTTTATGGGGCACCACATAAAAGCAAACTATTCTCCATGTTGTGCTCTATGGCTTTCTGCCAGTGTGCTGGGCGTGAGACCCCTCACCGCTGATATCACAGCACCATGTTTACAGGGGGGAGGGCAGGGGTTTGTATGGGAGCAACAAAAGGAGACACCGAGGCACGGAACTGGCTGAGTCCTCTCCCCCACTCCTCCCCCATCACTGGGCACTGGTGCTCTCCCAGGCCGCAGCCTCCACTCCCTGGGTCTGCAGCCACACCTGGAAAGGCTGGACCTTGAAGTTGACACCGCAGTAGGGATCCGGCTGCAGCGACGGCAGGGTGCACACGGGCGGTGGCAGCAGTGTGAAGGCCTGCAACAGTCGCAGGAGCACCATGAGGAGCTCCAGGCACGCCAGCGACTGGCCCAGGCACACACGCGCCCCACAGCCAAACACCAGCACGCTGGGGTTCGCACCCGGCTCCGGGAAGCGGTCTGCGGGCGGAAGGACCGATCCGGGGCTCAGGGGCCATCGGCCACCGGCCCCCCGCTGCACTGCCACCCGCCACCGCGGGCACCCGCCCCAGCACACACCCGGCCGAAACTCGTGCGGCTGCTCCCAGACGGTCTTGTCCAGGTGGGCACCTTGGAGGTTGGGGATAACAACCATGCATGCCCTCATGGATGTGATAGCCGAAGATGCTGAAGGTTAGGGTTAACTGAGAGGCCCGCTGGGACCCCGCTGGGGCCTTGGCCATTCATCCCTAGGCCTCTGGAGTCACCTGGTAGGCAGTGGTGCCGTGTGTCAAGGCCAGGGGCAGCAACTCTGCGATGGTGGCCTTTAGCAAAGGCAGCTGAGAGCCGTCCTTTTATGTGACTCCAGGGTTTGAGGCTCTGGGGCCCAGCTTGAGATCCATCTTCTCCTGAAGGTGTTGCTGAATCTGAGAAATGGAGCCCAAGTCCTATCACTGGCCAGCCCTCAGCTGCCAGCCTCCATTGTGTGTGTCTGTGTATCTCTCTGTGTGTGTGTGTGTGTGTGCGCGTGCATGTGCCCACACTAGTCACTCAGTCATGTCTGACTCTTTCAGAGCCCATGGACTGTAACCCTCCAGACTCCTCTGCCCATGGAATTCTCCAGGCAAGAGTACTAGAGTGGGTTGCCTTTCCCTCTTCCAGGGCATCTTCCCAAACCAGGAGTCGAACCTTGAGTCTCCCACATTGCAGGAAGATTCTTTACTTTCTGAGCCACTATGGAAGCCCAAACTTCCACCATTCCCTGAAGGATCTCACATGAGACTATGTGCCAAATAGGAAAACCCATGCCAATCCCACTGACCCACCCCAGTCCTACCCCGACAACACAGCCTTCATTGCCATCAGTGAGATACGTTCCCGCCACCCTGGCCAGGCTGCCAGGAAGGATCCCTAGCCTGCCTCCAGGGCATACCTCAGGGTGGTGAAGCAGGAACGCCACAGCCCAGGAGAGGGTGCTCGCCGTGGTTTCAGTGCCCCCAATGAAAAGGTCCACCACAGACATGTGCACGTGTCCTCCCAGGAGCTGTCCTGGGCCCTCTTCTACTCTTTGCCTCCCTACCCCCTGGAGCATGTAGTCCATCATATCCCTCCACTGGCCAGCCACCATGCTCTCCTGGGGAGGGGAGGAGGAGCCGGCCTGAGTGCCTGGCTTGGGGAGCGTGTTGAGAGGGTGCCGACAGGTCCAGGACTGTGGGGATGGCCCAGAAGCTGCCTGGCTCTGGGCAGCAGCATCACCGCTGCCGGCTGAGGAGGAGCCCGGTCCACACACGCTTCCCACCTTGTGGCGCCTCAGCTGCTTCTCCACCATGTGGTCCCTGTTCTCTATGGCCTGCTTCAGCCTCCAGAGCCCAGGGTTGGGGAAGAACTGGGGCAGAGAGTAAGAAGGTGTAGCTGCTGGCAAGGAAGCCTGTTCCCCATCCCCACCCTTTCTCCCAGGACCAGGCGTGTCGGGGCTGCGCCTCCTCACCCTGAGAAAAGGAACCAGGTCCAAAATCTGGATGGACCAGTGGCCCCAGGTCTTCATCAAGTCCTGAACACAGTCGTGAAAGGCATGTACTAAGGTGTCCTCCTGCCAGAGGAGGAAATCCTTTCAGTGCAGAACCAGGAGAGGATCAGGGAGGGGTTGCAGGGGGCAGGGGGAGGGGGGCAGGCATATGTGAGGGCAAGAGAGTCTTGACCTTATCTCCAAAAGTGAGGTAACAGATGATGCTGCAGGTGAGGAGAGAGAATTCCTTCTGGATGGTCACGGGGGCACCAGCCTGGACTCTCATGTGCTGAAGAGAAAGAACATGAACTAAATAGGGACCTGGGATGACCCTGGTATTTAAGAGGCTAAGATTCTTGCTCCCAGTGCAGGGGGCCCAGGTTTGATCCCTGGTCAGGGAACTAGATGCCACATGCTTCAGGTAATATAAGTGAAAAAACTAGAGGGGCTTCCAGGAGGGGTGAAGCTGACCTGGGCTGACTGTGGGAGTCCAGGCTCACCTCGCAGAACTCCTGGGTCAGCTGTCCACCCAGGGCTCCATGGAGCTGCAGATACCCAGCAGCAAGGCTGAGCGAGTGAGTTTCTTGTGAGCCTTCCAGAGCAGAGAATAGTCCCCCAGAGAGATGTCCTGGCAGCACTGAGACACCAGCTTGTCTGCGAGTAGGGGTTGGGGGTGGGAGGGTCGACTTGACCAAGGAAGACACAGGCCTGACCTCCCCTGCCTCCCAAAGCCCTGCTTCTCCCCTCAAGCAACCCCTTACAGGATGGTATCTGGGGTCTGCCGGCAAAATCCACCCATTTCCTGATCATAGCCTCCTCGATGGTCCTCTTGGAGTTCAGCACCACCACCTCTGGAAGGGGGAGTGGTAGGAAAAGCAGGAAGTCAGCAGGAAAGGACACC